CCTGTCTGAGGCTGCCATGGTTCTCCTTCACTTCTCGCACTGGGCACGCTCCTCTAGCAGAACCCTTGTATGCCTGTGTTGCCTGTATACCTTGTGCCCCGGTTATGCCCTCATGAGCCGACAACATTTCAGCTCCCCTTTCTGTCTGTCTGGTGGCATAAAGGGCCTGAAATAGTTACGTGGCACTTCAAACTTTCAGCCTGACTCATGTCAGCCTCTCTGTTCCAGTCTTTTCTCGAGCACTAAAGATGCAGTCGTGGGGATGAAAAGCAGACTCTTTGCTGAGGTGGTCACTTCCCACTTCCACTCCCTGGTTCCAGAAACCGTGTGTTCTGGCTAATGCCAAACTGTTGTGCCGGTCAGAATATGCAGTACATCTTGTAGGATTTTACCCCAGTTCCACGTGCTCTCCTACCTTGTGGTTTGAATCATAACTGAATTTTCAGTAGACCTTTCCACCATCGTGTAAGTCCAGCTGCATTTGAGCCCTGCTTGACTGCTTGGTAGGACCACTGACTTTTATGAGCCCACTGCCTTACTTTGCAAAATAAGCCTCTTGGTCAGAAGCACTCAGTGGTGATGGTGGATGAGGATGAGGCCTTCAGAAAGTCCATGGGCGATGTGGCTAGCAGAAACATGGCCAGTGTAGAGGATACATCCACGTCCTGGATAAGGTCCACTGCAGTGAAGATAAGTTATTGCCGCCTCTGGGGTAAAAGAGGTCTAATATAATCCACCCATCACAGCTGGCCCATCTCCCTGTGAAGTGAGTTGGTGGGGCGGCTCAGATTGGGCATTTGGCAGGGCTCAGCCTCGGTGCAGTTAAGTCCATGTTGAGCCCAAGCATAAAGTTCATCCTTCCACCATGGCCACATCGCTCATGAACCCAGTGAGCAGGTACTTCGGCAGCTGGGGAGAGCTGCCAGCCAGCATCCATGGGGCAGGTCATCTTGTCCAGATTATTATAAGAAGTTCTTAGTGGGGCCTCTCAGAGAGCATTCACATCAAATTCAAATATTTTCCCACTCCATACAACTTTTCCACAAATGTCCTTGTCACTGGTCCTTCTGAGTTTCTACCAATGTGCAAGTATTCAGATCTCAGTCTCCCTCTCCTTATAGGCCAAAATTCACTACTCAGCGTTCTGCCCACTGAGCAGACTTCCCTGCTCCACCCTCAGTGGGGTGGTATCATTTCATAAGTGGGCAGAGTCATTGGTTAACCAGGCACACCATTGTATCTGCTAGTAAACTGTTCACTCAAGTTGCCAGCATTTCAGGTCATTTATATAAGTCAGAGAAACACACAGATATGCCCACCAGTGTTTGTGCTAACTTCTTAGTGCTCAGGGGTCCAGGGTGCAAAAACTTGACTTTTCTTTTGGGTGAACTCTCTCACATGCCCCAGACCCCTGGACGTTCAGAAACCATTTTCACAGGTTTCAGTCTGACACATGCCCGTGTCTATATGGCATCTAGAATATGTGCCACTCTCTGCTCTATGAGCCCTTCCATTATGCGTTCACTGTTGTTGACCTGATATCCTATGAGGCAGTGAGATACTGACGGTCCTGGTGGGCTCACAGTGTCACTGAACCAGAATGTTAGCAGAGCAGTGAGGCAGGAGTGGAGCTGGGTGGCTGTCCCTACTGTCGGCAGAAACCTGCTTCTGTGTTGTCTGCTCACTGGGATAGGAACACCGCATTTTCCCAGCTCTGTGTCGCTGATGCTAGGTGTGGTAGGGCTCCAATCCCGAAGAATCTCTGCCAAATTAAAGCTCCATTAATCCACTGTCATCCTCCAAGAACTGTCTGTCTTCTACTTGGGCCAAAGCGGTGAATTAAATGAGAAAATTGTATGACAAAATACTCTTGAATATTTCAAGTGTTTGGTGATGGCATGGTCCCTTTGAAATCCTCGGGATCAACGTTGCTTTTGGCTTACGGTTTTGGTGGGCATGGGGAACTCCAGAGACTTCCTTCCGGCCTTCTGTTGCCAAACCAGCACGCCCTCCAGGAGCCAGGGCTCTGAGGGTGGGTTCTGTCAGTTGCAGAGTAAGCCTGCCCCAGTCGTAGACTCAACAGCTGAGAAGACGATGGCAGATTTTCACAGCCCCGTTGGGCCCCTTGTGAGATGAACTGAAGCCAAGTTTCTGTTTATCCCCCCTCTGGTGAGTCACAGTGGTGACCAGAAACCCGAGAACCAGCATTGTCTCAGAGCCTGTGTCCAATCAGCCTCAAGAGTTCTGTGTATTTCCGCCTTCTCATTGTGCAGGTACCTGAGTAAACAGTTGCAGATGCCAAATGGGGAATTTATAGAATGTACTTGCCATCATTTTGAAGAGTCCTTACTTGAGGGCTGCCTGGCTCTCTATTCAAGGAGGACTGACTCAGATCTGGGGCTGGTGAAAAGCTCCTTCAAGGTAGCCCAAGCCAGACCCCTGTTCGCCACACCTAGATTTTTTTTTCTCTGTTAGACAGGGTATTAGCTTGCTGGGGCTGTCATAACAAAATACCACAGACGGTTAAACAGCAGAAATGAATCTGCGCACAGTTCTGGAGGTTGGAAGTTCAAGATCAAGGTGTCAGCAGGGTTGGTTTCTTCTGAAGCCTCTCTCTTTAGCTTGTTGGCGGCCGTCTTCTCCCTGTGTCTTCACATGGTCTTCCCTCTGTACACTGTGTCCTCAACTCCTCCTTTTATAAATTCTACCCCTTATGCAGTCATATTGGCTTAGGGCCCACCCTAATGACCTCATTTTAATTACCTCTTTAAAGAGTCTATATCCAAATATAGTCACATTTTGAGTTCCTGGGGGTTAGGACTTCAACAGAAAAACTTTGAAGAGACATGATTCAGCCCACAATGTACAGTTTAAGTAGTGTCCACATATGTTCTCCATCATATCTGGAGTTATGGACATACCAGTTAACCAGTAAGCCAAAGATGTATGTGGATCACACCATGGACAGGGTTCCTACCAAGGTTGCCATTGACTCATGGCCTTCTAGTGGGCCATGTGACTCACCCAGCCATGGACTTTAGTTGACTGCAAATTTCAGGCCAACTAGTCACTGGGTGACCCACTCACTCTTAGGCTTTGGTGGTCTCCAGATGCCATGTCTGTCCTGGTCATTAGTCCTTGCAGCAACTAGCTCTTACTCTCCAAAAGGTGTTCCTCAACCATAAGGTCCACTCAGAAATGGCCCTAGTAGCAGTGTCCTCCCTGCATTGGGCCCCCCTTGTTCAGAGGGTTCTGGGGAGTGCAGGGTAGTCACTTGGTGCGAACTAACCATCTCACACGGATCAGCCTGCACACAGCTCCTCTGCTCTCTGGTCGTCCTGTAGCTGGGGATGCCCAGCCAGCGTACAGCTCATGTGCCTTATAGCTGCATTCCAGCAGAGGGACCCCAGTTCTCTGATGATCAGCCTTCTTATTGAGCAAGCATGAAAACGATCTTGTGGAAATGGGGAGAGGCAAACATTTTGGTCACAATTATAGGTACTGGGCAATCTGGCCATTCAGAAAAATGCTGAGCACGCCAACTGCCTAGTACCCAGAAACTCTGGCAGCCCTCCAGCCAGACCTGTGGGAAGCTGAGTTCAGGAGGAGCCCCTCTCCCTGCGAGGAGGGGAGTCATTGATCCCAGATGGCTTTGGCCAGGCAACCCTGGGAGGACTCCTGTGGTCACTTATCAGCTTGGCACTGGAGCCTGACTGACTGACAGGTCCTGGAACTTCCTGCTTTCTCGCCTGTGGACCTTTGCACATGTTGCTTCCTCTCCCTAAAACTCTCTCTTCTCCTTGTACGCCGCTGGGCCAGGCCTGTGCTCCGGTGTCATTTCCCGTAAGGAACCTTATCTGATTCCACACATCTTCTTTCTCAAGGAGCTGCTCTTCCCTTTCGCAGCTGCTGAAATGGTAGCACACTCACCGCTCCCTCTTCCCACAGGGCCAGGATCTTGTTGTGGGCAGCACCCAGTGCCGAGCCCGTCACTCGGGAAAAGCACACAAGTTGGAGGAACTAAAGGAATGAGCTACAGTCTTACTCATCTGTCACATGTTGATTGGCCAAGGCTTTGTTGTATGCGCCCATGGCAACATCTCTTCGCCCCTCCAACAAATGGCAGAGGTGAAAGTGGTCTGAGTTACAAATTACTAAATAGTTGTTCTCGTTTGGTTTTGAGAAAGTCCCAACCACATCCTACCCCAGTGGAAGATTAGCTGCAGAAATTCTGACTCGTCTGCAGATACCTGCCCCCCAGCCCCGCCCGTCCTGGATGGCCTTTAGCCTGACTCCTCCTACTAGTTACCCATCACTGAGCTTCAACCTGCTGGGGCCGCACTGTGCTGGCTCTTCCAAACACTCGCGGTGGATCCTTGCGTGCAGCCCTTTCTAGCCAGCATCCTCAACCCTGGTTCTGAGGTTGGGAACCAGACTCAGAGTGCAGGCAACGTGCCCGAGGTCCCATAACTAGGAAGTGTCAGAGACACCGTGAAAGCACGGCTGTCGGACGCCTGGCTTGTCTTCACTGCTTCGGTATCCCTATTAAGGAGATTGCGTGTGTGTTTTCTCTTTTAATAACATGTTCCTCTAGTCAAAAAAAACAAAGCTGTCTTTAACCATGTGGGAACCAGGAGTAGCATTCTGCTTTAGCTCCTGTGTGGGTATCTTTAATTTAGATTTTGTACCCCCTCCCCTCCGATCACAAAATGGACAAGGAGAAATAGACTCCAAGACAGAGCTCGTCTTCCAGCTCCAGGCACTTGCCTCAGTGCTGTCTACTGTCTGAATAACTCAGTACGTTGCCTATGTATTAAGGCTCTGCTGCATTTTTGTGTTTGTAAAGCTATAATTTTTTTTTTACTGCCTATTATTCCATCCTTTGTAATCTTTTTCCTTCAGTAACATCTAAGAAACCCAGTTCTTTGGAAAATGCCATAAAATAAATTAAATTTTCCTGGGTACTGTGGTTTCTGTCTGCCCTGGCTTTCTTCTTGGCTCCTCTTCTAAGCTGAACACTCCTCTGAAAGCTGAGCCGAAACCTCCAGCCAAAGCGTGTAGTTGGTCGCTGGCTCCTTTGTGGCATCCAAGGTATCTTCTGCGAATGTTCAGGGCCAGGTTACCAGGCATTCCCCCTCCTTCCTCGACACCCACACAGCCTTCCGCGGCGGGGCACGTTACCACCATGTTAGGAAATCAGTGGGTGTTCACACAACAAGGGAGCAAAAGAAAAAGGGGAGAGTTGCCAACACAAGCAAGTTCTTCCTATTCTTCCCCCGTCTGAGCCGCGGTCCCCTCCTTCCCCAACGCCCGATGCGCGGTACCTGCCAAAGAAAGCTTTCTCGCTGTGCTCCAGACACAGGCCTGATTGTGAGCCCTCCTCCCCGGGGGTCCCCAGGAGCGCACATTTGTATATGCGCTGTTTGTTTGGGTTTGTATTTATTTTCCCAGCCCGTTGAAAACAGGGCCTTTTCCTATTTCAAATAAATTTTGGACATGAAACCCTTCTCCCTTTGAGCCCAGCCCTTCCTCCATAGAAACCATCAGGGGGTTTCAGTGAGGACAGTGAAAACTTGCTTGGAAACAGATCCTTGCACAGTAACATCTCCATGCTTTTCTTACACGTGAAGGGCAGTGACAATTACCATCCCTCCAACAACTGTTAGTCCTGATAAAACACAGGCCCTGGAGCAAGAGAACCAGCTCCACAGCCCCTTGGGATGGGCGTCAGCTGTTCGCAGGCATGTCAGCGTTTGCTCCTGCCCGTGCCAGCCATGGGGACCAAGCTGGGTGCACTTGCAGGCACTGCCAAGGAGGGACTTCTCTGGATGAAAGAGGAGGACCTGGGCACTCATGTGGTTCTAAAACAGTAAAACAGCACATGTTTTCAGTGATCTGCCATTCTGGTAAATATTCTTAATATTTCGACTTTTTTTTTTCCCTACCCACACCCCTTTACAAATAGAAATGGATTTCCCTCGATCTGTCCTCGGGCACAGTGGAAACATGTGTTTTCTTTTTACACATGTGTTTAAATAGTTCTGGTTATTATTTACATTTCTTCCCATAATGTCCCCCATCAAAACATTTGCTCGGCTTTCATCCACACATGAGAAGCTTAAAAAGGGCAATAATGGAAGCGAGCGCCCACAAGCCCTTTGGTGAACGTGCCATGATTTCAGCAGAGATGATTTTTCCAGGAATGGGCAATTTGTAAAGCTGTAAGTTTTATGCTTATTACCAGAAGTGTGCTAAAGCATCAATGACAACACAAGATGCCTTGCGTCCTCAAAAACTGGGGAGACTTGGCTAACTGCTGAAGAAAAACAAAATCTCTAAACTTTTAAGTGTCACGTTTCCACTTTTTACAGTCACCTGTGATGGACGTTGCCACAGTTGCAATGACTGATCTTTTGTTTTTTAATTTTATAAGAAATTAAAAACCTCAAACATACAAAGCTTTGAAAGAAGTTAGGGTTCTTTTCATCATACCAAGAGGTTCTCAAACTTCAATTCAAACCACCTAGAAGACCTTTTCGATGTTAGTGTAAACCTTATTAGGCTGACCCTACTGGTCGCTGGGTGAGTAAACTGCCTCCCGTCCCACCCTGCCCTTCCCCCGAACACGCCTACTCACCTGGAAGAAAGACAGTGATTTTTCCCTCTTAAAGTCTATATTGCCATTGCCGAGGTGCAAATTACAATGCCAGTTCTGTTGGGGCTTTTTATTGGTGATGCAACTCCATTTTTCCTTTTGAGTCCACTTGGGCTGGTTCACATTTACGTGCAGATTTTCTGCTCCCAAATTTCTGCATATTCGGGAACTTGGAAGTTCAAAACAACGTTACCGAATTCCCTGAGACTCTTGGATTCTAGAAAGATCTTTGTCGTTAAATGGTGGTCCCTGCCCATTTACCAGCTCCATGAAGACTGACCCTTTATTACTGGATATTCCAAAGACAAGTCCCGCTT